ATTATTATTATTATTATTATTATTATTATTATGCTAGTAATGCTATCTAATTTATATTAGGGCTTATTTGTTCCATCATATATCTTTTTCCATGTTTTTACAGTGTTATAACCAATCACACTCGAGGCCGTTGAGTGTTTTTAAAGTGCATAAACTCGGGCTAGAATGAAGTAATGTTCTTTTTTGATAATGTAAATGTTCTTTGCTCGTTGCTGAGGAACTGAGGAAATGTAAGCATTATAATTAGCAACTTACAATGTTTCTATTAAATTGTTATCATGTTAAATACAAATGACATGATATTTTATGACAATATTTTATAACATTAGGCTGCTTTTTAGCCCCTGGAGTTGGTCCACTCTCCGGCTATGAAACTAAGTAAGTAAATAATTAAATAAATTAGCATGATAATATTGTGTATCGGCGATCTCACAGGCTGACACTAGATTTATATGACTATAAAGCATATCGCCCAACACTAGTATCTTTCAAGAATCTATTTTCAGAGAAATAAGGCAAAACATAAATATTAGGGCTGTAGCTATCGATTATTTTAGTAATCGAGTATTCTATAGATTATTCCATCGATTAATCGAGTAATCGGATAAGAAGTCATTTTTCTTTATTAAAGAGCAATACTAAATATACAAGAGATAAGATAGATCTCTTAAATTAAACAACTAATTTGTTTTCTTTTTAGAAAAATTTTAATTTTTATTGCTGAAATTGCATACATTAATAACCGTGAAAACTAAACCCATTTAATGTATTTAATTGCCTAATTGCATTCAAAATGCAAATACAAATATATCAATAAATAAATAAATAAAAATACAAAAATCTATTTCACATTACTTTAAAAAAGGTACTAAAAACAGTACAAACTAAAACTAAGGCATAAATCAAAATAATAGTAATAAAAATAATAATAATACCTAAACATTGCATTTATGTCGTGCAACTTAACTTTCAAGTTTCAGCCTAACTAAAGCTCAAGCATAACATAAGCCTTTACTGTCTTCTTGGAAGGCGTTGTGGCTTTTGTGAGAGGCAAAAATCAGTGGACAGGAAGGTAACTTGGAACAAGAACAAGAGACCATACACATGCAACATGAAATTAGAGTTATTTGGAGAATAAACCCTCTTAAATGTCCCTATACGTACTGGTGTGTGTGTGTGTGTGTGTGTGTGAAACTTGTTTATGATATCCTTCATATCCTGTGTACTGGTCAGGTCACAGCAGTGATAGAAATTAATCTGTTCCAATAAGTTTAAATAGATTTTTACATTTTATGGGCATTTTTACCTTTATAAAGCCTTTTTTGTCTAAAAGTGTGCATCATCTTTTGAGTCAAAGTCTTACATTTAATCAGTCAATTAGAATAAAAGACATTTGGGCTGTTACCAAACAAATGATATCAG